CTTTATCTCTCTGTCTGCCATGCATGAAAGCAGTATTTCTAAAGGAATTCCCTGTTGTTGGGGGACCACAGCACTGCCTGTGGAATACTGTGTATCCTGACCTACAGGGGGTGTTTGTCTGCATGTTGTACAGTTTTATAATTGAACTAGTACTAGGACCACTAAGAGCTGAATAAGGCAGAGTCATGACTCTTTGTTACCAATTAGATGTATTATTATTATTATTATTATTCATAATAACAATAATAAATTATGTAATTGCATGTTGATTAGTGAAAGTGTGCTTTTCTCCAATCTGTATGTGTATTTGGGTGCTGATGTGTGTGCGGGTCTGTATTTACCACACTGTGGGGATTAAATGTCCCCTTAATGTGGTAAGTTTTTACTTTTTAGCTTGTTGGAACATTTTTCAATATAAAAATCTGTAAATATAATCATAAATCTACAACAGCCAAAACTCTTGTATTTCGTTACTTATGGTTACGGTTAGGGATATCATAGTTATGCCCATAGAAATGAATGGGTAGTCCCCACAATGAACTGTGTGTGTGTGTGTGTGTGTGTGTGTGTGTTTTTTTTTTACAGGGATATTACAAACAACTCATCTGTATTGCAGATGTTTCTCTAAGACTGCAGTATCAAATCTTTGTAGTGGCTAATCTCTCCGATGGTTTCTTTCTTCAACATCTGTTTCTTGCAGAGCTGACTTGACTGCCTGTCTTTCTGTCTCTTAGTGGGGTCAAACTGACCCTAATGTTTCTCTCCCTCTGCTTCTCCCATAATGCCCCTTGTCAAGGAGTGGAACAGCTAGTGCATTTCTTCCGTGATATTGCGTGGTACAGTACTGATTTTTAGATTTGTCTAATGCCGGTGTCTCCAGTCCTCGTCCCATGCATGGAGAGGCACTGCCTCACCCCCTCGCATGCAAAAGCGCATACGACCCATGCGCCATCCCCTTCACTGCACAATGCAACATGCACGTCTTGCTGCCTCCGTCTCAGTATGTCCTCTGCATGCTTTGCTGTCCACCATTGCTTTTCTCTCAAAATTCTATGCCTGAATTTCAGCACTTGTGGTTCTCCATCATCTGCCACTATATTACTTTATCTACACTTATTTATTTGGTGTACACTTTTGTCCAAAGCGATGTACAATTGAGAATGCAGGGTCGGCCAGTTCCTGGAACGATTGGGGTTAATATCTCTGCCCAGTGGTGAAATCACTCTGCCAATAACCAGCGACCTTCTAATCATAGGTGCAGAGTCCTTACTCAGAGCCACACTCCGTACCTTAATATCTTATTTTCCTATATTTAATGTTTATTTCCATTTTAATACCTTGTCCCCCAGGTACAGTTGTCCGCATCTATCCCTCACTAAATTCTGCTGTCCCTGTTATTAATTTATCCCCCTGCTCCCTCTCCTATTTATTTTCCGACTCTTTGCTTTCTGCTGCTGTTCATGAGCAGCAAAATAAACAGGCCGCTGGCTCTATTAGCACCTTTGCTCTGCCTCCCTGTCGTGACTCCCCGCTCCAGGACTTCCTGAGGCGAGACACGCAGCGGTTCTGCTACCGCTAACCGGGCCTCTCATCCGCAACCAGGGACGATACCGTTTACGCGCCGCCGAGGCCTGTTCGCCCGTGCTGTGCGGCGCGTGGAAGAGCAGCCCGTTTTAAGCGGAAACGCTGGAATTCTTTTACACTGAAACATCACGAGGTGACAGTAGTTCCTTGCGCGTGATATTTCGTGGATCATAATAAAGGTTGGCTGATAATTTCCCCAAATGTCTCCATTATTCTGCTCGGTGAAAGCCAGGTCTGGGGTGTGTGCTTAGACATCTTCACTGAATACTTCTCATTTGGGGAGGGGGGAAACGCTGGTGGACAGAGGGGAGAATGAAATATTTTAAAGTTTACCATGAAGATATATTAAATACGAGTGGACTGTTCCATCCTTACCATCACTTTTTAAGTTACAGATGCCAGTATCTCAGCATTTCTCTCCAGCACTATGGATGTTTATAATACATAAAGGAATTGTTTATTGATCCTTAGAGAAAATACCCCTTAGTATGAGAAAGTATTGATATGTGCCTAAAGAGTTAGGTGGATTCCAGTGCTTTTCCTAGCAGTGTGCCGCAGTAATGGCTTCTTTTGAATTGATATATCAAGACAGCAAAGTCTTATAGGCGAAATAGAGCTGGTGAAAAGGGAATTTCATATTTTAAATTAAGGGTAGGACCTTCTGATAAACACTTCCGTTAGTTAATTTGTCTTACAAATAGCTTTCTTCATCTCTGTGGCCTTTTATTCCTTCTGTGTTCACCTGTGTCTCATGCGCTGCTGCAGTTTTATTTAATAGACTTGAAAATTTGGACATACTGGTTCACCTTAAGCTGCGACAGGATCACGGAGTACCTGAAGTGTGTATCTGTCCATGGGGAGAATTTGTCCTTATTGCAAAGACAGGCCTGGGGGAAGAATTAAAACTTGATGGTTTAGGCATCAGTGCGATCCAGCTGAGATGCTATCGGAGTTGCCAGGCTGCCTTATATACAATTATTTTAATTATTACGGTATTAACATTTACGTGATTGCACAGATCTGGAGCAGTTGGTGGTTAAGGGTCTTGCTTTGCTGGGAATTTATACCTGTGACTACAGTCAATGACTTTTAACCTACATAGTCACACTTCATCGCAGGCAGATCCAGTTGGGATTGACTGTTTTGAGCAAAAGCATTTTGAAGAATATGGGTGTGAGGGAACAGGTACTTCTCAACATGTGGATAGAGTTTCTGGACTGCTGGGAGACTGGGGGAGTGCAGTAAAGAGTGATTCTGAGGTGGTGGTGGGGGGGTTCCCAGTGAAATCAAGTTGCTTCAATCCTAGAAACACCTGCTGGGATTTTTTTCATTGTTGCTTTCCTGCCGCGTAGTATTATCTTTCATCCACTCGTTCTCACCCAGTCCACCAAACCATCATTGGTTTTTCATGAGTTCCTGTCAGAGACCAGGCTGTCCATTCTTTAAAGCTCTCAGGCCACAATACCTGAAGCAGCCTAGATGAAAACAGCAGGAGTTGAGATGCAGGGAGGTCTCCTGCTCAGCTGCTCCTCCTGGTTCATTTTCTTTTAAATTTTATGTGAAGAAAGGAATAGTAGTTTTTGAAGAATGAATGTTAAGTCGTGAGAGTATTGGGAAGGAATGAGTAAAACAAGGTTTCCTCCTCATCAGTGGGAGTCAGGAATCCCAGAAGTTGGTCAGTAACAGAATGTAAGGTGTCTGATGAGACATTGTCATTAGGAACAGCACTACAGCAAATTCTGGGGTTTTTTTTGGGGGGGGGGGGTGTTATGCAGGTAGTTGGAGCTAGGGCTGGGACATTAGTTTAATTTCAGTTTTGGTTTTGGCTTACAACAATTACCAAAACAAAATAATCAAGATAAGAAGATCAGGGTTTGTCTTGTGTTATAAATCAAGTGCAGCCTTTTTCTTACCAGTCACTTAGAGTTCAAGGAAGTCCACTGTTAGATTTTTTTTTAAGTTCAACAAACACATCATATTTCTAAATTCAATGAGCAATCGTGTTAAATAATCATGATTTCAATATTGACCTAAATAATCTTGATTTTGATCTTTGCCATAATCGAATAGCCCTCATTTCAGATGTGTGCTAATGAGCCCATGAGACCGTCCCAGTATGAATGTTTAATGACCTGTTTCACACATTTACCCTTCTGGGTGTCAGTGTTTTTGGTTCTGTTGATATATTTTTTTTTGTTTCACCTGACCCTGCTTGAACCCTAGTATTTTTATTGAGAAGCTGTCATGCCACTCACAACTGAAAGTCTCTGTGCCAAACCAAACTTGCTTCGGGGAACAAGCATGACTTTTTGGCAGCAAACTTCACAAAGAGAATTAAATAACTTCTCATTCATAGTCATTCGGCTCACGCCAACATCGGTCAGGATTCTTCTGTTTTTGCAGGCAGGAGCACGCAGATAAGGGCCTGGCCCCTGTTTTACCTGGTTGATGTTAAGCTAACATCAACCATGTAAGAAGAATAATCCTGATCGAAGTATTAATTAGCAGTTAAGGTCGGCTCAGCTGCTCATTTTAATTCGTTTACTGTCAGTTCTCAGTACCAAGAAAGCTGCATTGCTCTTCTTTCCCTGTTGCTTTTCCTGTTGTTTTTGACAAGTCAAAGACATACCTTTTAGGGAAACTATGCAATCACCGCCCAGCCTCATTGTCAAGTGCTCCATATGGGTCAAACACCACCAGTACAGTTTTTAACATATTGTGTTCATTGTTGAACAATTTCTTGGCTGCTGTTTTTCTATGGTGAACTGGAAGTATTTTTTATCCAGGATCACATGCAAATCTTGATATGATATAGTCCACCATACCTGTAAATTAGTTACAAATATGGGTAATATTTTATCTAAAGCTCCTATGTATAATGCATTATAGATACCTTCATAATGCATTATAATGCATTCATAAAGTATTATAAACATGGCTATATTTATAAAATATAGCCATGTTTATTAAGCATTATGAATGCTCCATGAAGCTCTTACCTATAATGCACTATAAATACCTTCATAATGCATTATAATGGCTTATACTGACCAGTATAATGCATTATAAATTTATCTATAGTGCATCATAGATGAGACCTTCATAGAGCATTCATAATGCATAATAAACATGGTTATAATGTGTGATGCCTTTTTGTAAATATAGCCATGTTTATAATACTTTATGAATGCATTATGATGCGTTATGAAGGTATCTATAAAGTTGCCCAAATGTGTTATAAAAAGATATATTTGTAAATTATGATGTTATGTAGAGGAAGGCAACCTAAGACAGTATCAGTTTCACAGGCTGTGATAAGTACAGCTGTCTGTTTTAATTAACGGTTTATTAAGGATTAGCTAATATGAATATAATTTGTTCTAATGGTTTTGATGCTCCCTCCCTTTGTTTCGTAGCCTCAAATACTACAGTCTTCCAACCCAGCCTGCCGCAAAGAACACCTCCAGCGGGAAAAGCTGCCAAGAATAGCCCCCACAGAGGACCCCAGTGATGGTCCTACTGAAACCAAGGGTGACAAACTGGCCCAAGGCTTGACCCCGTCACCCCCCAGCGCCGCTAACGCTGACTCAGTCCTGCCCACGCCTGATGCAGATGAGCTCAGCTTGCTTCTCAGCATGCAACTCAAAATCAATGACCCCGAAGCCCCTCCTGATGCACCAAGGGCTACAGGGATGGCCCTCGTCCCGGGTCCACGGCATCCACCAATCAGAGTGCTGCCTACGGAGATCTCCACCAGCCCCTTTGAGGGACCACTCCCAGGCAGCCGACCTCGCATCCTGCAGTCACCACGTTTCCACAGTAGGGTTTGCATCCCAACCCTGGTGCGAGAGGCGATAGCTCTTCCCGGTGGCAGGTTGGGGAGTGGAGCTGCAGGACCTGGGGAGAGGCAAGGCTCCGTACCAGGCCACGGGGGCGTACAGCTACCGCCACCATCATGGGGACTTCCCAGCTTCAGCTATGCTCTTCAGGCTTCAAGCCCCGTCCCAAACCCTCCAGGCCGTACTCAGGCTTTTAGGCATGTAAGGGCCCGTTGTCCAGAGGATGCAGAGGGAAACTTCCGGCATACCGTAGCGGTATCCCCCTCTTACCACTCTCGCCTTCCAAAGCCAAAGACACATTGACCTGCTTGGCTGACACGGTTAGAAACTGATACCTGTGGTCAAATTTGCAGAACCTGAATGCAGTTGTGCAGTTTTTTGTTTATTCTCTAACCTTTAAAATAATAAAATTTAGGCTGCTTAGATAGACTTAGATACAAGTACAAATATGAGGCATTTATTTAGGAAGGTTCAGTACTCTCGGAAAAAAACATCATATAGACGCTCCTCTACTTATGAACTTTCAGACATATAAGTCCAAATTGTGTCATTGGGCTCCCTTTTCCTGTCCGCAACATAATTATTTTTTTTTCTGCGTGCCAATTCCGCCTAGTACGCCCAGTTCCGCGTGCGTACTCCCAGCATCCTGGTTCTTTGTACTTGCGTATACCCTTAAAATGATGTTGAGTAACGACTTGCAAACATTTCAAGTTACGAATGGCTGTTCGGAGGGTATCTCATTCGTAAGTAGAGGAGCTTCTGTACTGACATTTTCACGTTGAACATCAATAATGCACATTTTAGTGCATATCACAGAATATGAACTGCTGAAGGCTTGCTATTGCCAGTGGTCAATACTGCAAGACCAGCCTGGTTAAATAAACGACAGCTTGAAAATGCAGGATGTCTAGATGATGTTTTATGAAAGACTGAATGGTGTCACTTGCATCAATACAAGTCCTATAGATAATTGTAGCGGCAATAGCATTTCCAGTTGCACAACAGAATAGCTACAACATCAATGTAAAGATTTGAAAGCACTGAAACAGCAGTTTTGCTGTCAGATGAGAGAAGAATGCTCTCCTGGGCATGTTTCTGGCTACAACAATGTAACACTTTAGCATTGCTAATAAAAGTTAGTTTGTGTGTCCCTCTCTGTAAGTATGGTGCTGTTGTGCGAGATGGGATTATTTCCGATGTTGTAAAATCATGCCCTATGTCTGGAGACTAGGGGTGGCTGTTCAGGGGCTGTTAGTGTCCTCTGAAAAAGCTTTTTTTCCCCCTCATTTAAAACTCAAGAGGGAACCTGTAATTGAGGTTACATCTTTTCCTACTTAAGATTTAGTGTGGTGTTTATAATTTTTAACTGTTATTGTCCTGCCTCTATCATTCATGGTAATTAGTGCACTATTTAATTCCATGATTTGATTGGGTCATTACATCCTGAAATTTTCAGTGCCTAACATTCCTGTTTTTGTTCTGTTTATCTTGTGCACAATCAAATTTGTCTGGGAGTTGTTCCCCCGCGAGAGTTGCTGCTATGTTGATAGTGTGTACGAAAGAGTTAATATGCAAAGAGTTTGCAGTGAGGATACAGTCTTATGCCTCTGTGATATGAAGCCATATGTCATCCACAAGCACGTTCCGCAGTCCGCGCAAAGTGTAGTCAGGATGTCCTGCTGAGCAGGCTTCAGCGCTCAGCTACAATTCTGGAGGAACCTGTTGAAGTTGAAATATATTGTGTCATCTTCTTATTGTCCTTGTTGGAAACTGGCAGAGATACCAGATTCAGGTTTGTTGTAGCAGGTGCACTGTGTTACAAAAAGAATCTAAGATGTTTCAACCATAGTTCTGGAGTGCTCCGTAGTTACATGTAAAGGAACCACCCCCCCCCCCCCCCCCCCCCAAAAAAAAAAAAAAAAAAGGTTAGACAGATGACATGCAAACATACTGTTTAAAAATTAGGCATTAGGTAGAACTTCTATTCACACAATGGTACCTTATGATCAACTTTTATGATGCAAAGGCTGAATATTTTATGCAATGTAAATGCCACCTTTTAAGATTCCGCATGCAGATCTGTTAATATGTGTACTTGTGTTTTTCATGTGCTTTGTATGAAATGAATGAACTTTTCTAGTGTGCCATTTTGTGCTTAAGAAACAAGGCCGTCCCAAAGCCTCAAGCCTTCAGTTGGTTAGCACAAAGATATGATGGGCAAAGGGATGGTAGGACAGGCCCATTCTAATGTTAAAGCTGTCTTTCTGGAGGGACAGTAACTAAAGAGGACCTTTAGTCTGTCATTGTAGTTGGTTGTCCTGAAGAAGTCTTTACTGGTAACAGGAAGGTGATATTGTTTTGAATAGAACTCATTGGCCTTAGGAACTCATGTAGAACAGTTCCAATATATTTTTTAAGTCTCAAGCATTTCTCATTTGTCACAAAGATGTGACAATGAGCCACTCACCTCTGTCTTGATGAATATTATCACCATGTTATGGAACAAAGTTTGTATTTGTAGGATTGTTTTGGAATTAGGATTCATTATTGAGATTAATTTATAGACCGTCAAGGTAATACAATGTTGTTTATTCATCCTTGAAGAAATTTTACTTTGAATTTTAATTCTCAAGATAAGTGTTTTTGGAAGACAGACAGATGGACATAAATTGTCTTTATCATTATAGGCCCTCAAAGAATACAACTTTATTAGTCAATGGATCCTTAGAACTGAAAGGAATATGGATTTGCTTTATTTTACTTTATTTGGGCTGGAATGAATTGATTTCTGTTCACAAGGGTGGAAACCTGTTCTTAAGCTGGTGACTACCTGAAGCCTTTTGCAGTTGTTAGATACGCTTTTTATTACCTGTTAAGTTCCTCCAAGGGAATTCTTGGTAAAGTGATATGACAGTCATTTCATTATACTGTGGAAAGGTGGATTTAATATTCTGTCTATATTGATGGCTGTGGTGCCTATGGACTATATTGATTCTGGAGTTCAGTGAGTTTTCTGTGTTATAAAAGCCAGTATGATTCATATTCTCTTACTGGGCTTTTCAATGCAGGTGTGACTAAACATAGATAATTGTATGTGTTACGGAAGTTCTGTGTAAGGTAGTTATTACAGAAATTACAAATATTTAGGTAGTAGAAAGCAGCTAATATTAAGTTGAAGATTTTGGTTTGACCACATAGACAGATAGAAGTGTAGGGAATGGAACGAGTCCTGGGAGTACAAAATCGTCAGCAAGCCGGCTGACAGTTTATAATTTTCAGCACATAATGGCACACCTTGAGAACAGTCACTGAAAACACACATGCACACACACACACACACACACACACAAAATAATTGCTCAGTTGTGGTTTCCTAACATCTCTGACCTCAGGCTTATAAAAAGTTTGAAATTCCTTATCTTGATTAACTTGGTTACTAAGGATTTATTTAGATTCAACCTGCATTATCACCCCTGTCATAGTCAAATCTATTGGCAGTTTGAGCACAAGTGAATGTATGAAGTACAGCGTGTGGGTCTCTTGGGCTGAGTATTCTGGCCTTACTGAGGCCACGTTGTAGAATGACTGTTTGACTTGGTCTCTTCCAAAACCTCCCCTGCTTGTCTGTGTCACATGAGGCCTCTCCAGCTCAAAGATGAGAGAAACCCATCTGGAGACTAGGTTTGCCTCTGATTGTATGAGAGTGCCCTATATGTTGGTCAGATATTTGAGCATGTAAGGTCCACTCTGGCCTGCTTGCAGTCATAACAGCATTTTCCTCCCCCAGGAACCGTGACAGACACCAAGGTGGGCTGAGAGTCCTATGCATGATTCTTCCTCCATAAGTTTTTGTATGTAATGGTTCCTCCAAAGTTCTCAACTAGAAAATGGGGAAATAACCTTGTAGATTGACCTCATGCATTTGTCTAACAAAAGGGATCTGTACCAACATCACATGACAGTACAAAAAATGCATGACACAGATTATAGTTAAATGACTGGCATTCAGAATGGTTTGTTGGCCAATTACAATTTGATAGATGCAGGGGATGATATTAATCCCATATATATTTTCCCTTTTTGCAGATTCTGCAATTTTGGGGGGCATCAGAATACAGCTTTAGCTATTATTAAATGTGTAACAACCACTATCAGTTTAACCTTCTGTTCAGTTCAGCTTATAAAAGCATTGCTTTTAAGACCGAATACTGTAATGCATTGTGTATAAAATAATAATGTTACCTGTTCCCTGAAATTAAGTTGAAACTCACACCAGTTGGTTTATATTCTCATGCATTCTCCATCGTGTGACGTGTGCAATATTATAAGAATCAAGAACTGAGAATATATTGTTTTAAATCAGTATGATATTACTGTTTGTGGAATTATTAATACATTGTAACAAATGTAGGTTTGAAATAATGGAAAAAATTATAATGCACTTTAAATGTTGTACAGGTTGGAACCTAAAGTTACAAAGCATACTAAACTGGATTTGGTCTTTTTTTATTTATTTTTTTTAATCTTTCTTTGTTTGGTTAGTTGTTCAGGTTGTGTTGAGATCGTAATAAAGTCCACACCAAGTTTATTTCAAGTCCCTCTCGTTTTTCAGTGATACCCTTGTATTGTGTCATTAATCCTTTACAAATCCTGACAAATCTTTTATGTAGTTGCAAGGAATTTTCATGAGTGTAGTTGCCATACCATTACCACTTTCCAAATGTGCAGCTTTCAAAGCATTTATAACTCTGGGCATCCAGTCTCTTAATATTTCCAAATTTAATGCATGCTCGCAGCTGCCAAATGACTTTGAGACTCAGTGTTTAATTCCCCCTAACAATAAATTACCCGCTGATTAGTTTTGGGTCTGTGTTTTTCCTTAAACTTTGTGTCCACAGCTTTTGCCAATAGGTCATAAATGCTGCCCTAACCAATCACAAGGTACAATAAATAGGTAAAAGGATGTTGTGAATATCCTTTCTTTCCCAAATTACCTAAATTCAGTATTGCATCTATCTATCTTCTAACCCCTTCTTGGGCTTCATTTATCAAACGTATGCATTCACACTGTAGGCAAGTTAGAGACTCCAATTAGCCAACTGCTTGTCTACAGATTGCAGGAGGAGACCTGCCCAACCTAGAGAGAATTTCACAGAGAGTTGAGGTGGGGTTGAAACCCTCAATCCTGGAGGTGCCTTTCCGAAAGTTCTGCATTATACTGAGTAATTATCAAAATTATTAGGCACCCCTTTAAAATGAATTTTGTCTGCTGTTACAATTGCTATAGGGCACAAAATAGCATTGCTACTGCAACAATGAGTTGCATTCATCTGTCTATTGTCTATGTGTTTCTTGCACTATTTAGCTTTGTTTGTAGCACACTGATATTGTGAATTGCACTCTGCAATACAGCTGCCATGGGTCAGAGCACCAGTTAAAAACTTTTGCCTTTGCATTGTTACTCTGAAGGGCTGTGTTTTGTACTAAGGATATATTCTCTTTTCATCAAACAAAGCTTTAAGTCCATTATTTGTTTATGTCTGTATAATTTAGAAATCCATGCAACATTTAATTTAGCATTTTTCCTATTTATTTTTCATGGCTGGT